ATGTACTTTTATGATTTTTTCATATAACATAATGACTTTTGCTACTCTTAAGAATTGGAATCAATTGGCCCTTTAGTAGTTTCTCATGATTCTGATTCTTGCTTCATACATCTCCTCTTATTTAGAAATATTTGAAGTGGTTCTCTTCAAGTGAAACCAATTAAATGGGTTGGTTTCGATTTTTTGAATTGTTCTTCACCTATGAATAAATTACATTATAAGACATCTATGTTTACGATGTTTTCATATGAAATAATGTTTTTTTGCTACTCTTAAGAATTAGAATCTGGCCAGCTCGGAAAAAACGATTTGAGAAAGCGATTTTGATTCTCGGGAAGAAACTGGATACAAAACAAGGGATGACTAATGTGGTAGTTGTGGCAGCGGATGGACAGTGGCAAATCTAGAAATGAGGCAAGAGGGGGTTGAGAGTTAGGGTGTCTGGTCGGGTGGGGCTCTGGGCCTTCAGAATTTTCATAGATTATCGAGAGAGAAAAAATATTAGTAGTAGTCACTTTGTTTTGGAATGGACTAGGCCTGGAGCCCCCCAACCCCCCACCCCAACCGCCCGTGTGCAGGTATGCCTCTGCGGACGGGAGTATAGTATGTTGCCTGCTATAGGTTGTGACGTACATAGTCACATAGAGCATGTTTCGATCAGCTAGAACTAATTATTAGCTAGGATTAAAATTAGCGCAAAATTATTGAAGCTACTTACCTAATAACTAGTTGGAAACTTGGCTTAAAAGTTAGCCCATATATTAGCCCACTATTTGGCTAAGAAATAGTTAAAAATTAGTTAGCTAACATTTAGCCATATTATACATCAAACATCCCATAAATGGAAGAAAGATTTTTGGTGTGAATGATGGGACGTATGGGAATGTTTAACATCAGTCTCTACACTGCAAAGGAATAAGGAATTTGTTTAATTGGGCCAAATAATTTCTGATTAGCTTGGTCCATTTAATATGAGGATGTGGTACTATATAACTGCAAAAAAGTCAGAACATCCATACCTGTACTTGACACCATACATTTATCTCAGAGATGCTATGTTCTCACAAAAATATTGCAGAAACATCGACGAAGCCATCTGGTCCAATACCATGTACTGAGGTTCATGTGGAGCCTCCCTAGATATAATGAAGTTGCGTTTGCTAGAATTCGAACTAAGAGATTTTTATGACCTTGCTTGATGATGTTAAATTGAGTTTTATGTCCTATATAATCAGTTGCACGGTTGCACCCAAAAGTCATTGAGGTAATGAGCTGCATGTGGCGACCACTTGCACTCAAATGTCTAAACTGATGGAGAAATTGGACTATACAATTAAGGGCATTTTTAGATTGATTAAAATAATTAAGTCACTAGCTACTAAAATAACCGTAGCTAATTCAAACAGTCTAGTTTATAGTCTATTTTAAACTTTTCAATCATATAACATATTGTTGTGGTTCGTTTGTGCGCGGTACGCACGCTCTAAAGCAACAACACAGATTGACCATCAAAATCCGTCAGTCATCAGCTCGACGGTCGCCATCTGGTGCGTATCAACTTAAAAATGCTATTAACTAGTTTCCTCCAGCTATTGCAGCTTATAAAAAAAGTTTAGCTGATCCAAACATGGTCTAAGCTTCAACACCATCATTCAACGGAGGAAATTGATTATTTATTTGTATTCATTTTCCTACTGAGAGTCTGTGACCCGGAGTTGTATGTCCTGATCAATTGCACGGTTGCACCCAAAAATCATTGACCTGCATGTGGTGACCACTTGCACTCAAAGGTCTAAACTGACGGAGAAAAATGGACACTTAACCTTCGTTCAGCACCATGTCTTGATCATTCACCAGAGGAAATTTGATTCTTTCTTTGTAGCAGCATTCATTTTCCTACTGAGAACCGCAGTGTAAAACCGTCACTGCCAAGTTGCATACATACACAAATTCTGGAACGCACACGCACATTACAGTTACAGAACACACAACCATCTCCAGGTAGCACAGCGACACCGGTCACCGGGTCACGCACGGTCGGACGACAAGAAGCTATAGATCACCGCGTCTCTGGCCTCGCGGCCGCCGCGTCCGGCGATGTAGCGGCGCAGCACCCCCTCCCTGTGGAAGCCGGCCTTCTCCAGCACCCTCTGCGACCGCACGTTCTCCACGTCCGTTATCGCCTCCAGCCGCTCCAGTCCCGGCAGGTCGTCGAACACCCTGCCCACCACCTGCGCGCGCACCGCACCGCCGGGCGCATCATGGAGAAAGACACACGATTACGAACGACGCCATGTCCAAGAACGCCCCGTGCGCGAGCTGGTCATTACAGTACCATCCTGATGGCGGGGGCGGCGGCGATGCCGCGGCCCCACTGGTCGTGCGCGAGGGCGTAGCCGAGGTTGGCCCTGCGGCCGCCCTCGTCGGCGTACGGCCACACGGACACCTGCCCCACGGGCACGGGGCGGCCGTCGCCGACGCAGACGGCGCGGAACCACGGGTGGCCCAGCACGGTGTCCCTGATCTGCGCCACGGCCTGCTCCCGCGTGGCGCAGAGCGGCCGCTTCATGTACCGCATCACGCGGTCGTCCGACGCCCACGCCATGAAGGCGTCCGCATCCGCCAGGCCCAGCTCCCGCAGCGACACCACCGGTGCGTGCTGCTGCCCTCCGTCCCGTCTCTGCCCGTGGTGCACGTCGCCGTCGGCCGCCGGCTCCATCGTCGTTGATCGCCTCTGGCTGAGATTAGCTTAATTTGCCTCCCAGCCCCGCATCGATCGCTGCAACTGTGCATACGATTTTGATGTGTTGCGATTCGCGTCAAACGTGTCGCGGTCAATCGGTCGGTCATATGGATAAGAACATGATACTACGAGAAATTAACAATGTTGCACGCACTACCAAATGATCTTATCTTGCTCTCCTTTTGACTTTCCAATTCATAATTTTCTTCTTCAAATTTTCACTCACACACATCATACGTGACGTATGCGCAACAGCGACAGGCCAGGGAGATTATTAGCATCGCAGCCCATCGGGCTTGTTCTGCTGCCGCCGACGGTCCGTATCCGTATCGACGACGATGCTGAACATGACCATGTCCCTGGGCCGGCCCTTGAGCAGGATGTACTGGCGCAGCACGCCCTCCCTGACGAAGCCGGCCTTCTCCAGCACGCGCTGCGACGCCGGGTTCTCCACGTCGGCCACGGCCTCCAGCCGCAGCAGCCACGGCCACACCGCGAACACGGCCTCGGCCACCGCCCGCACCGCGCGCGTCGCCACGCCGAGGCCCCAGTGCGCGTGCGCCACGCGGTACCCCACGGACGACCTGAACAGCCGCCCGTCGTCCTCGATGGCGGGGCCAGGCTTCCGTTTGCCACATTTATGCACGTCCTTATATATTTGTCATCGTAAATAATAACCCTAGTATGTTTTTGTCATTTTTATTGAGGTAGCACGCTAGATGGGCACGCCAGCGTGGTGGAAACCCTAACTTAGCACGCGAAATGACCACGCTGCCCTCACCTCCTCCTTCTATCTCCAGCCGGTCTAGCCCCGAGTCAAACCCAGTCCCCCACTCCCCCTTCTTCCCCACTCCTGGCGCCGGCGACGGCGGCTGTGGCGGACACGGCGGTGGCGGCGGCATCGAGTCTCCTTCCCCTTCCTTGGACGTAGGACGACCATACTAGGTATTGTCCGCACTCCGCTAAACCCTAGTTGATCCTCGTCCCCCGTGCACCCCATGGCTCGGAGGACGGAGCCCTCTTCGTCAAGGAGCATAGCGTCGTGGGCTATCGAGGAGGAAGACACCGGGAAGGAGACTGGGCTCCCGCGTGTCCCACATGCAAGAGAGAGGGTAATCGAGCTGATAGTGAGGACAACAGAGAACGGCAACCAGGGGCGCGTGTTCTTCAAGTGTCCCAAAAATGTGCCCGGGGTAAAGGTTTTCCTTGATCCATTTTGATTTTTTCTTGATTTTGGTTTTGGTTTTGGGTTTGGTTGAAGAACCCTAATTGTTGGGCATTTTATAGATGGCTGGTAGATGTAGGTTCTATGAATTCTAGAAAGCGTACTTGAAGCTGGTGGAGTTGAAGTTTGTTGTCATTGATCTTGAAGCTGGCCTGGGTGCAGAAGAAGTAGAAGAAGCTTGGAGATTTGGTGAAGAAGAAGCACAGTCAAAGTGTGCTGGGAAGAACTGCATGGAAGCCAAGATGGATGCCCTGATTTCTTTGCTTCAGATGTTGATTTTAGTGTTATTTGTTGTATGCATTGTTGCCATAATGTATGTGTTCAAGTGAATGGTTGTTCTCAGTAGTAGGAAAATGTATGCTGAACATGTTAATGCAATGGAAAAATATATGCTGAAATGTGATGTGAGTCACTTTGTAGATCCTTATTCTATTTTTTTCATCGTAGTGTTAGTTACTAGAACATTTGCCAGTTAGAAAGAGCATGGGTGGAGATTAGGCTTATGAGGCATTGAATGAGAAGTTCTAGTGAGAGCTTAAGGACTTTGTTTCGATGAGAAAGTGATGGATGCATTCTGAAGCAAATGAGTTTGACAAATAATTAGTTTTTGATAATTATGTCTTTAGAAGCAAGACTTGTGGTCATGACTAGTCTAATAAACCAAAAAATTCTTGAAAAAAGCAAATGTTGATCTTCACTCATCATCTTGGCAGGCTGCACTGACTTTAAACCGGAGTTGGAACGGGACAATAAAGGTAGTAGGCAGCATAGTTTGACACTAACCACTTTAAAGGAGATTTAGAAAACCAAATGAGCTAGACTTCTCTTTTACCAAGCTAATCCATTATTAGGTTCAGCAGTTGTCATACACAACTGGTCCATACATAACAGGTCCATACTGGCAATGACAGCCATACATAACTGGTCCATCCCATACATAACATGTCCATGATAGCCATACATAATTGGTCATAGGAGTTCCTATCTCTAAAATACATACAAAAGAACAACCGTTTAAATAGTGGTTATGCCTTAGTTGCCAGCCTTTGTTGGTGTTGCCTTCTTCACCTTAGTAGCTAGCTGTTTCTTCCTTGGGGTCATTTTTTTGGCTAGTTGCACTGCTGCAGCTTCATCTACTGGTACTACCTCTAGTGGCACTGGTTCATCCAAGTCCAGCCTCCTGCAAGTGAATAACTAGTTAGTTGATTGTGCATCTCATGGTACATTAGTGGCTGGTTGATGTAAATGGAAGCAACAAACCTTTTGCTGTCTGGTGCTTGATCCACCTGCACTACTGATCCTTGCATAGCTTGGCCTGTAGCTCCTTCATGTGCTTGCTTAGCTGCTGCCTCCCTTGCTAATGCTGCTCTGGTCCTTGGTGTCCTTGCAGGTTTCTTTGTTGCTACCTCTCCCTCCTTAGTTGTTTCTTTGTTAGCAGCTTTCTTCTTCTTCCTTGTAGTCTTTGTTGTTGCTGCCTTAGTGGTGGGAGCTGATGTTTCCTCTCCCTCCTTTGCTAGTTCATCCTCACTAGGTTTCTGCTTCTTCCTTCTAGACTTAGTGGTTGTCTTCTTGGTCCTCTTCCTATACATGATGTGTTAGTAACTTAGATAGATTAGTGTAACAATAACCGATGAAATTGCAAAAGAAACATACCTTTTTGGTGCCTGTTAGTGGACACCTCCAGCTAGTGGTTCTGTGGCCAAGCTCACCACAACTCTTACATGTCACTTGCCGTGTTGCTTTCCCTGTCCTCTCCAAACAGCTGAGAATCCTATTCTTCCTTTGTCTCCTAGGTCCTGTTTTTTTCTTGGCCACTAGTGGAAATATTTTGAAGCCCTTGTCAACTGCAGGCCATTGTTGCTTGTCAGTTATGCTAGGTATCACACCTACATAAGCTGCATGTAACTTCTTCACTGAGTAGTACCCATTGACATACTTTTCCATGTCTGGCTGCCTTTCAGTGGTGATCACAACAAGGGCATGTGGGCAGGGCTTGCCACTGAACTGCCACTCCCTATGTGTACACTCCTGCAGATCTAGGTAGACAACATGCCTTGTGATCTCCTCTCCCTTATACATCACAATCACTTCAGCTTCTTGGGTTCCCTTTAGTCACCTGGAGATGATCTAGTCCCTTGCTGGTAGCATTTAGCTGGTGAATGACAGTAGGAAGGATGACACTAGTCAAAGCTAGTGAGATCTTCCTTCTTTTCTCAAACAAGACCATTGTCTTGATCCTAATTGCATCTGCAAGAGAGTCTAGTGGCAGGTCTTCGAAATGTTTGAACCAAGCATTCCAGCACTCAGCAAGATTATTGTTTATGTAGTCACACTTAATGTCTGCCGAGAACTTGCTTCTAGCCTAGAGTAACTTATGATGCTCATTTAGCCAAGGTAAGATGTCTGCTGAACCTGCAACAACCTTGGCCATGAGCCTCTCATACTTCTCCTCTGTGTAAGCTCTAGCTGCTGGCCACATGTATTGACCCAACAATGAACCATTGCCCTGCCCTTGAGAAAACCTTTTCTTCATGTTGTCCATCAAATGCCTAAAGCATTTCCTCTGCTCTGCCCTTGGAAATACCTATTTAACTATAGCCTCTAGACCCTTGTAGGCATCTATGCACACAGCTAGTTTGTCTAATGGACCAAGTGCCTTGCCTAACTGTTCCATGAACCAAATCCAGTTCTCTTTGGTCTCAGAATCAAAGAAACCAAATGCTATTGGGAACATCCAATTGTGCCCATCTATAGCATTGGCTGCAGGCATGTGTCCATTCCACTGTCCATTGAGAGCAGTGGAATCTATACTAATGTATGGCCTGCAGCCCTCTAGGAAGCCATCTATACTACCCTTGAATGCATAGAAAAATCTACTGAAATGAACCTTCTTGCCTACTTTCACAGTGTCTATCTCAACAACACTACCTGGGGACCTAAGCTCTATCTCTGATTTGAATCTGAATAACTAATCAAATGAATCGTCCCACTTATCAAAAAGCTTATTTGCAGCCCTCTGCCTACCATACCAGCAAGTCTAGTAATTTATGTTGATCTTGTATTTCTTCTCAAGTTCTTCTTTGAGCTCCCTTGCCCACATCTGAGGCTTGTCTTTAAGCAGAGGCACTGCTCTCTCTGCAATCCATGCCTGGGATGCCATCCTATTCAAAACTCTCCTTCTTGACACACAAGTATGCACATTAGAGTTTATTTGTATCTGCAAACAAACAGACAAGCAAGCCAACATTAGACTAAATTTATGAACTAATATTCATACAAATCACAGAACAACAGGTTAACTAGATCAAAAAAACAGTGACATGTTCTAGAACAAAAAATAGTTAGTAATATATACCTTGACACTGTTATCTCTTTGAGTTCTAGCTCTAATAATCCACTTGCATCCTTTTGATTTGCAAAATCCTCTAAACCTTTGAGGATCATATTTCTCAGTGCCTAGCTCAAACTCTTTGACTATAGCATGTTGCTTAACTGCCAATCTGAATTGAAGAATTGATGGATACGGTGTGCCTATAGACATGTTAGGATTGTCTCTATCATAGAAAAACAAGGGCTCAGTTGTTTCATTGTCATCAACGGGGATATCTGCTGCTTCCATTTCTTCTTCCACCTCAGGAGGAATCTCTAGCACTAGAATCTCTAGTGGACCATCAGCACCTGCTATCCCCTCATCTATAGCTTTGAAGCCCATGGCTTCATAGATTTGTTCCTCATCCACTAAAATAGTAGCATCCCCATCTAAGTTTTCCTCAGGTAATATTGTGAAAGCTGACCAATCAATAACAACACCATATGATCTTGTATACTCTGGACTGCTACAAGCATTATCTGTGCATTCAACATTTTCTTGCTCTGCTGTTGCACCGGATGTGGCATGAACACTATGCTCATTTGGCACATTTCCTGCTGCTGCATCCGGTGTTCATGCCAAATGAGCATAGTGTTCATGCCAAATGAGCATAGTGTTCATGCCACATCCGGTGTAATAGCAAAGCAAGGAAATGTTGAATACACAGATGATGCTTTTAGCAGTCTAGAGCATACAAGATCAGATGATGTTGTTATTGATTGGTCAACTTTCACAATTGTAAGTGCGAAAAGTGACCAACAAGTAAATATTTGTAGTTTTGCCGTGCGTTGTGATCAGATGTGGCCTAGCACTCAATAACATAGGATTTATACTGGTTTAGGCAACGTGCCCTACGTCTAGTTTTGGTCAGTCGGTGACTTTATTTCTAAGCCCAGGTGCTCAAAGTTTGTTGTGGGGTTTCAAACAAGTATGGAATGAGAAGGGGGTGTTAGAGGCCCAGTTGGACTCTAAACCAAGTGGTTAAGAGTGACAGGTGCTCTAACGTGCGCTAAGTATTGAAGCATATGCTTTGTGTAGCTATTGAGATCTAGAGCTGTGGAGCTGTTCGAATGCTCAGGTTCTCTAGAGCCAGATTTAGAGAGAGAATCCAGCCGGAGAGAGTCTAAACGACCGTCCCTATTGAGAGAGAGCGCATCCCCTTTTATAGGTGAAGTGGATGGCCTTACAAGTTAGAGAGAGAGAGCATGTACTTGTGCTACCTAGTCTTGTTGCTCACGCCATCGGGTACGAGACGATTATCGGTGCCCACAATACTATTCATGCCTAGATGCGTCTGGCAGGTTTTACCGTGTTCGCCTGGTATGGTAAATGTCGGCGCCTACAATACTGTAAGGCAAATGTCGGCGCCCACAACACTATTTGGGTTCTAACACGCTGGGAATGTTGCATTGTACCCGCTTGGCATGGCCTAGTGGCACTGCCCTATAGGTGCGCAAGGTATGGTAGGGTACGGTCCTCGGTATTGCGGTTGACTTGAGCGTCTTGCCTTATGTCAGTGCAGAAAGTGACCAACACGTAAATATTTGTAGTTTTACCGTATGTTGTGATCGGAGGTGGCCTAACACTCAATGACACAGGGTTTATACTAGTTCAGGCAACGTGCCCTACGTCCAGTTTGAGTCGGTTGGTGACTTTATTCCTAAGCCCAGGTGTTCGAAGTTTGCAGTGAGGTTACAAACAAGAAGGAGAAAGATGGGGGGTACGAGAGGTCCAGTCGGACTCTGGTCAGAGGGGCCGAAAGTGACAGGAGCTCCGCTCTGTGCTAAGTGAACTTGATTGATCTGATTGAATCTGAATGAACTTATCCTTGTTGGAGAGAGTGCATCCCCTTTTATAGATGAAGGGGATAGCCTTACAAGTGAGAGGGAGAGAGTGCGTGTGCTACTAAGCCTTGTTGCTCATGCCGGTGGGTATAGGATGATGGTAGGCGCCCACAATACTATTGAATGTCAGATGCACGTGGGAGGTTTGTGTTGTCTTCTTTGGGTATGGCAGACGTCGACGCCTGCCACACTGTTGATACCTAGAGGCATGCAAGGGGTTTTACCATGTTCGCTTGGTACGATAAATGCCGGCGCCCACAACACTGCTTCGGTTCTGCCATGCTGTATTTGTCTGGTATGGGAGTTGATGGCGCCCACAATACTGTAGGGGAAAATATCAGTGCCTACAACACTGCTTCGGTTCTGCCATGCCAGGTAGGTCACAGGGTACTGTCTGGCAGGCGCACAGGGTATGGTCCCTGTTATTACGGTTGACTTGTGTACCCTGCCTTACTTTCTTCGTTCGTTTCCTGGTCCTTACCGAGCGGGCGTCCCCGGTCGGTCGGTCCCAGTTGGCTCTGATTGCGCTAGTCAGAGAGGGGCTGTAAGCAGGGGTTTGGCGCATTCCTGGTCGGAGAAGCGGACTGGAGTCGGAATCGGCATTTTGGCCAGACCTTCCGGTCGAAGAGGCCATCCAGAGGCGGGCTAGAGACCGAAGCGAGGGCTCCGGTCGGAGAGGCGGACTAGAGTCGAAAGCGAGCGCTATTCCTCCTCGGCCAGGCCTTCCGGTCGGTGATTGGATCGCCCTTCTAGCCTGTTGTTTAGGTATTTGGGCTGGCCCATGTGTTGCACGTTGCTCGCAACGTTGTTCATTGGGTCGAGCCCTTGTTGAGAAGCCGGTCCATGAGGGACCTTGGGTTTATGAACCCGACAGGAGCCCCCGGGCGATTCGGGTAGAATCGTCTGTGGGATTTTTGTCTCGATGGTGGGTGCGCACGAGCGCACCCATGGATGTAGCCCCCGAGCCCCTGGGCGATTCAGTCTTAATCATCTGGGGTGTTGCCAGTGGGGGAGGTTCCATTCTGTCAGCGGGTGTGCGCGAGCGCACCCGCGGGTGTAGCCCCCGAGCCCCCGGGTGATTCGGACAGGATCGCCTGGGGGGTTTTGTCAGCCGGGCGTGTGTGCGTATTTTATAGTCAAGATGGAATCGTTAACCAAGGCGTCGTTGCACAGCCGAGGTGGTTTGGTCTTTAGGGATTTGGACGAGACAGAGCTCATGGATCCTGGCGTCGGTGCGCGCCGTGGGATCAGGTGAGTCAGAGTCATGGATCCTGGCGTTAGTGCAGCCCCCGTAGTCGAGGCCTTTAGTTTTAGGGATCAGACAAGACAGAGCTCATGGATCCTGGCGTTGGCACGCACCGTGGGATCGGGCGAGTCGGAGTCATGGATCCTGGCGTCGGTGTAGCCCGCGCAGCCGAGGCCTTTAGTTTAGGGATCGGACGAGACAGAGCTCGCAGATCCTGGTGTCGGTGCGCGCCGTGGGATTGGGTGAGTCGGAGTCGTCGATCCTAGCGTCAGTTGTAACACCCTGGGTGTTTTAAATACTAAAACCTACCATGTCATCATATGCATTGTACATCATTTCATATTAGTGAAAACTTTGATATGCATACACTAAAACAAGTTTACAATTATGTTATATGTGTTGCCTTGTATGGTTTGGATCGAGTTCAAAGTGTTGTTTGGATTTGGAGTCGGAGTAGTGGATCCTGGAGGCAGTTAGTTAGTTA